TTAACATTTAAAGTTTGATAAGTAAGTCACCAGAATTCAGAGTTTATTAGTGTAATATTCAATTTACAATAATAACTGCATTAAATATTCAGAGAAACAAAAGTATAAAAAGATTAGGAACCTTGCAGGCAGACTGCTCTAGGATTCTTTTAGCATTATTCTGGTCATACAATTCTGTTAGTACAGCGAATATTAATTACTTTATTTTATTTTATTTTGGTAATATTAATAGTAACAAAATCTGTATTACATTTATTTTTTCTTTTAGGATTGACATGGACCTTTATTTCTTGTGATGCATCTTGGTTATTGGTCAGGGACAATTTCAATGGAAATAAGTGTTTTAGACTGTGTATTTCAACAGACCCATCTCCTTTCATTATGCCAGCTGAGCACACCCTTTCATCACTTCCTAAATGTAATTTTGTGACCCTGACCAGTTTCCAGAATAGTTTGGATTTAGCGGAGTACTTAATTGTCACAACTTCATCAACATGGATTTTACTGTGATAGTCTATCTCATGCAGTTCTTTACACTCTTCTCTGAGATTGAATAAATATTCATTGTACCAATTTTCTTTAAATTTTTCTAATAATTCCTCTCTGTTTCTCAGAGACTCCATCAATTGGTTTCTTGCTGGTTCAGTACTGTTGTTAACTGGTATATTCTGATGTATTGCTATTTCTCCATTCACATTTGGGTGTATGAATGAATTTGGCATTAATGGGATGAGCTTGTTGTCCAAAGGGTATCTATATGTCAAGGGTCTTGAATTAATTGACCTTTGTATATCTGATAATAATGTCAATAATCCATAGTAATTAATTTTAGATCTTCCAATTGTTTTGATCATGTTTATTTCTGAATAGGCAGCCTTATTTAACTGAGCAGTAAAAATCCAGTCTAATTTTTGTTGAGACTCCATTTTGAACACAGGTCTATGTGGAATCCAAACACATTTTTTATACTCTTCTGATAGTATGTGTATTTGTTATAGTGGAACACACCTATTCTATAGTTAATAGACTCTCCCACCTATAATAAGTAGGAGTCGCTAAGTCGCTCAGTGAGTTGGTCAGTCAGTGGATGTCGGACAACCGTTAGTCGGATACTAAAGTATCAGCGACCACCACTAGATTACTCTGCGTCATATCTATTATATGAAGTTCCTAACATTTTGTACATCGAACCTATTTTAGGACCGACTTAGTACAAATACAAGCCTCCACTGTGAAATCACTCCATAACAGTATTCTTTCTATAACACATTCTTTTTCTTGTGGAAAGAATACTTTGTTATAATCTTTATGCAGATTTTTATGTTCAAGAGACTGCATTATTCTTTGAAGTACAGCTAGGAATATTTTATAATTACACGGAACAGGAGTGATTTTCTTCTCATACCACAGCAGATCCACATAATATACATTGTCCTTGAATTCAATAGATTCCTTGAATTCTTCTATTTTTTCTTTGATATGAACTTATATCTATTTCTGTAATAGCTGATTCTACTTCTAACACACACTCTACATTTCTTTCTACTAGAGACATATCAAAGGTATCAGGATAGGTGTTTTTGGGATTTAATACAAAATTTACTTCTCGCTCAAGACATTTGGCTAACTCTTTTACAATAGTATGATAACTGTTTAGACTAACTGTAGTCTTAAAATTTACTGGTTTTATCTGATGATCATATAGAAAATGATTAATCTCTCCAAATGGTGCTATATAACTCAGTAATTGCTATGTTAAGCCCCTTATACATTTAATGAGCTTGGTAGAACACATGAATTGAAATATGTTGACACCTATTAATCCTCAGATATCGATTTGGCCATGTTTATTTCTTGAAAAAGATAATCTTTGGCTCAAACTGATTAGATTTTTCTCAATTGAATTTAATTCGTCAATTTCTAAGATAATATATAAATTTGCTATCACTTAATGCAGGCAAAGGAAGATGCCTTCTCTTCTTCATCTCAGTATCCAGTACAATTTGATTAAATTGGCTGTTAGCTTGTCTTAAGTACATTTTAACTTGAAAATCCACTTTTCTTAACAACCTATTGGAGCAATTTAGCCATTTAATTATTTTGTTTGAAAAGTTTGAACACTGACTACCTGTGTCTAATAAGAAATTGACCACCATCCTTTTTCTACCTTGCTGGATGGTTAATTTTACTATAGGTAATAAGAATTTATTCTCCTCACAGGTGAGTAAACAGATGTGGCTGAGTGGTTAGAATGTTTGCTTTCTGACAATGAGAACCAGGCTCAAATCTTACCCTGATCAATTTGTCAGGAAGGAGACTTCCTGATGTTATCAGACTGGAGGGGATGATCCCAGCATGTGGCACCTTTGGAAAGTGCCTGAAAACCATACCACGGGTTGACCCAAGCCTTGTGAGTGAAATTGGGTAAATAAAACACCAGGGGTCCTTGATAGTTGTGCTAGCATGAAGTCACAAGTCATCGTGACCAAGGATTTGAGTGTGCTGGTGTTGTTCAGATTGTTGATCATTCTAGGTAACATGCTCTCTCCCAGAAACTGTAACTAAGGTCTGCTCAACATAGTTGCAGTATAATATATATGGGTGTTGAACAAACACAAGTGCCTGAGTAAGAGTCTGCAATAGGGATTGGCTTGCCATCCTAGTAGATGGGTATCCTTGAATACAAGTGGCTAGTTATTATTATTATACAGTGATATACGTTTTAATTTTTCACATAAGGTCCCTTAGAAGAACAATTCTTGCATGGATAAGGTAATTTGGCTTTATTTCCAGGGCAATTATTTGTTTTATGCTTTGAACTTGAGCACTTAGCACATAGATGCATGAACTTACATTGCTCTTTGCAAGCCTCAGTAGTAGAGAATTTGGTACATTTAGTCATCCAATGTCCCTTGTTAACACATAATCTACAACGTATAGCATTGAAGATTTTGGAGAAATTCTGTAGAACTGCCACAGAACTTTCCTTCTCCATAGTATTATGTTTATATTTTGAGATTTAACTATAATTAATTCTTTTCATTCTAGAAATTGCTCTGATAGCTTCATTGCTATGTTTAAATATATCATTAAGAGTTGGGTAACTAGTTCCTGCCCAATGTATAACTTCACACTTAAAATTGTGCGGAAGCCACTCAAATAAAATATGGCTGGCCAGTTTCAAAACTGGTGTGTCATCTTCAAAAAATCCAACCTGTAGGAAGTTTTAAGTTCAGACAAATTGGCACAAACTTCTGCTAAATATTGTTTTAGATTCACAAATTCAGCATCATATTTAGGTTGGGTTGTCAATATCTGTTTAAATATCTCATTAACTATGGTACATCTAAAAATTCTTTGATTAACATTTCTATTGCAACATTAAAGTTTTTGTTTCCTAAAGTTAATTGAAACATTCACTGCAGAGCATAGCCTGTTAAACAACTTTTTAAAATGGCTAACTTAGCTCTGTCAGGTTGTACACTATACACACAATTCTGAAATTGAGCCTAAAAAATTTTGTGTTCAGATTTCATGGTATCTTTTTTTTTTAAGAATCATGTAACAAAGTCACTTATTAAATCACAATTCAAATAATATTATTACAACATAATATTAAATATTGAAATAATGAATAGACCTGCTTTTTTCATATTAGGACATTCATCCCCTTTATTTCTTGCCTGGTAAAAATATATTTTTTCATTTAAAGATTCAAAGTTCAAATGCAACAGGTAGCAAATAAGTTGTAAAAAGTTGAATTACAATTTTTAGACTGTAAAATGTTTGTAAAAGTTTGCAAATCTGAACAACATTCATTTAAGTTATCAAATAATAAGGTAAATTTGCAAAATCATTGTTAAAACTGCCACAATCTGTAATTAATCACAATAAATCTGCAATTAAGCATTAAGCTGCAAAATATTAATTTTCATTAAGTTTGCAAAATATGGGGAATTGGATTGAACCCCATATAAGATTCCCATGTGACGAATGCAGACATATTAATAAGAGAATAAAATGCAACTGACTTATGATTTGTACAAATTATATTGGTCAACATTACAAATGAGTCCTTGCAAACTTAATAGTGTCTGTGACCAAACTTATTTGTTGAGGGTGAGTGGATGTACTCATCATCTACAGACTCTGTGATGATAAAGGTGTAGAGATGATGCATTCAGCATTTGGTCATTCTAAAGGCTGGTATTAAGAGTAAAGAGTTGTTCAAAAATGTAGAAAATCAGCTGCTGTGTGCTTATTGGCTAATCTTAAACTACCAATCACAAATAATCATATAATATCTTATTTCTCATAATTTCGTGATTAGAAATTTTAGTTTAACTTTTTGGTAATAGTCAATTTTATTCCAGCTAAGGTAAACTAAAAAAAGCTAGTGATTTAAATGTTGATTCTCAAAGCTGGCAGATCATCACCATGAGAAAGACTGGTACTATAATTCTTCTTACTCATTTTTTTCATTCTGTAAATATGGGGGCTAATAAATAATGTAGACGCTAACAAACGTTAAAATTTATGAATTGTCTCTAACTTCAATTTATTTTATATTTTTAGAGACAGAGCATAAATAAATAACAATATCAGGTCACTTCATTAAATGAAAAGAAATGATACGTATTCCATAACATGAGGAATCATAAAAATTCAAGAATCATTTCCAAGTGTCAAATTATTTATTTTTGTTAAATGTATTTTTTTCATGATAATGATTTGCTTTGCTGCAACAAGTTTTTTGTGCATGAGGTGGTTGCATACTGGTCTCACTGGTTAGTGTTCAATTCAAATACAGATTAAAATTCAAGATTCTAAATTTTTGTTTTCAAAACAAGCATGTCCTTACTTTTAAGTTTGAGATTGAATAGATCATTACACTCTTTCTACTACCAACACCATTTTAGTTTCCTCCCTTAAATGGTGACTCGGCAGTTTTTTTTTTTTCATTTTCAGTAGAGTGATCTCCCCTTGAGTAAGCAATAACAATGGCTGAAATTTTCAAGGATCTTCGAGAGCAAGGAATTCAGAAAAAAATTATTTATCCTGGACAAGGTGAGATTCCATCTTACGGCGATGGGGTTGGATGGAAGGTTAGTATAACTTTTATATGTTATGATAATATAATGTAAACAATCTTATTGTCAATTTTGCTGTTGTGTTTCCAAATATACGGTTCTTATGTCAAATTTTAATGTTGACATTTTTCGAATTTTTGATGTCATCTGTCAGTTTTGATAAATAAACATTAAATAATTGAATTGTTGTTATAAAGTTGTCAATGCTACAAACGACTAAAATAACTTCTAAACTAGAAAAAAGGACTATATGTTTATATTTTTAAGAGGATTTCGATTTAAATTTGGTTGGAATGTTATAGTGTGTACGACCTGAAGCGATTAAAAAAATTCATAAAGTTTAAAATGTGAACGATTTTTTTTAATGTTTATTATCAATAAATGTCTTCTCTTTTATTTTTTGCTACTTTCAAATGGTAAAATTTGTTACAAACTGTTTTATGATCACTTTTCTTTTAGCTAACGTTCCAGTATCACACAAGAAAATGTGATGAAACAGTTATAGATGATAGCAAAAAACCAGGAAATCAATCTATGGAATTACTCTTGGGCAAAAAGTTTACGTTTGATGTTTGGGAAAAATGTGTCAGATCTATGAAGTTGAACGAAGTTTCTGAATTTCTTGTTGATGCTAAGGTAATATAATAAGCGTGGTTTTCTAAAAAAATTTCCTAAATAAAAAGCGCGTATTTCTTATGGAAAAATAAATAAATTAATTAATTAAAAAGCGACAACTTACTTTTTGACATTTAAAAAATGTAGCCATGGTAACCATCGTATTTTCTTTTCCATTAAAAGTTTATTAACAAACTTATTATAGTACGTAATGATGTGTGTATTGAAATTTTTACGATTTCTTTTTAAAAATTTGAATTGTTAAAATTAGACGAATTCGGAAATAAATTTTTATAGTTATTCAAAACAAACTCTTATTGTGTGTTTTTATTTTTAAATAATACATAGTTTTCCTTGACTTTCAGCATATAGAAGGATATCCTATTGTTGCTAAAAGTCTCCGCAACATTGCTCGCTCAAAGGATCATGGTCACAGCCACACTGCACCACAGAAATCTCATTGCTGTGGCATGATGTCAATGACCAAACAAGGACTTGGCTATCCTGATTTAGATGCTTTACTCACAAATCCAGAACCACTTATTTTTACATTAGGTAAGTGACACTAGGAAGAATTAATTATATGAAAAATATCTAAATTCTAAATTATGTATAGAGACACAATAATTTCTCATAAATGTCACCACTACTAATTAAAAGAATTTAAAAAACATACTGATTTCAAACTTTAAGTTAGGTATTTCTTAAAGGACAGGAATTGAAGACTAATTAAAAAACGCAATAAGTCAGATTAATTCTTTTTTTTTTTTTAATCATTTCACCCCAAGCAAGGCAATAATGCTACTTGAGTGCAGGGGGTTACAGGTAGTGAAAAGAAAAGGACAAAGAAGAAAAAGAGAAAGACAGTGTTGAATTTAATTTAAATTTTTGAAGATTGTATATGGCAGGGAAGCAAGGAAATTGTAAGAGAGTTACACAGGTTAGAAGTATGAGAAAGGAAACTGTTAGAATAGAAGTGGCAATTGCATCTAACTAGATCAACAGTAAAATGGTGAGACCTAGTTGCCAATCTAGTAGCATGCCTAAATTCATGTAGTTGAAGCACTAGAAGGAAAAACTCACCAGAACAGCTGCCATGAAAATATTTGTAGAAAAGACACTATGTTATGTTGGTCACTGAAGTTGAGAAGCCTGTTCAGGACTGATTACAGACCCTTCTTTGAATTTTGTCAAGAATCTCAAGATATACACCAAACCAGATATGGCAGCAATATTTAATACATAGACAAATAATAGATTTTTATAAATGTGCAAGATGTATACTCAGGAGAAAGATTTTCTGGCACGATACATTGGCGTGTTGATATTGGATATTGTACATACAAGTGCATATATTGGATATTATTATTGTCTCATTTCAACATTAAAATTTGAATTAAAAGTTCCTAGAATTTTCAATGTTAAATTTGTTTCTTTTTATATATGAGATTGAGGATTTTGTTTGCTGCCATTTTGCCCTCTGACCCTAAAAATAGAACACTGAGCAATTGATGACTATTGTTCTTTGGATTTGGCTTTTTATTTCACAAAAGCAGAATTTAAGGTCACTCAGCCTTTACCAGTATTTAGAGTTTGGTTATTGATCTCTCACAATCTTACAAGTAACCTGTAACTCCTGGGGGTCAGAGAGGACCCACATTTACTGCAACCATAGAAGAAGTGATGTGTTTAGGGCATATTGCCTAACTTAGTCTATCCTGCTTCAGACTGGTTTTGAATTCAGCTTACCTTCTTCTAGATTGGTTGCCACCCCAAGGTAAAAGAACCCACTCTGATCTGCTATTTAACCAACAGCTGGAGAAAGATGGATTCATGCCTTTTTCCAAGGGCATTAACATGAACTGAATGAATCAACTGGAATTTGAACTCAACATGTTGATTTTCTTTTCCACACCAGTAACCATTACACATGCCTCCTGGTGACTGACAGTCAATAACAATAATAATGAGATTGGTTCTAATATCAATATTATTATACTATCATTACCATACAACTAAAATTGGTTAATTGATGCTGTTAGATCTGTGCAAATTTTACTCTCAAATTTTTTTTTATTTACTTTGATAAATACAGACCACATAATAAAAAGTTATATATCTTCAGGAAACTTAAAAATTTGCCCAAAATTCCATTTAATATTTGCTAAAATAAAACACCCACTTATAAAACATACTGTATTGAATTTTAAAATATATTGACCTACTTTAGGACCAATTAAAAAATATTTGAATTATATAACTTAACATGACAGATTGACAGATTCTATGACTATATCTATATTTAACATTGAATTTTGGGGGTTTTGTTTTTATATTTGATAATCTTTAGGTAAATGCATTAGTTCTTTGACATTACAAAGTATATTGTAGTATTGCATTTCAAAGAATATTATCATATTCATTAAATATATAGGAAAAGTTATGAAAACTGTTCTATATTTCAGAGTTGATAAAGATTGAGAGTCCTGGTGACTACAAACGTGAAGCATGGGAATTAAATGAAACAGAAAAATTGGAAGCCATTCAAGTCTTACGTGAAGAGGGTAACAATCTCTACAGAGAACAGAATTTTGATGAAGCAACTGACAGATATAGTGAAGCACTTGGCATGTTAGAACAACTAATGTTGATGCAAGTATCTGTTGTTATTATAATTAAAATTTTATGTTCATTTTTAATTAGCTTGTTATTATCCTATATACAGCTTAATTTGAATATGCCTGTCTGATACCTACAGAATTCATATTTTATGTTCTTTTTTAATCATCTTGTTATTGTCCTATATCCAAATCAATTTGAGATCTTCTACAGGATTCATTTACACTTAAACCTTTACTTAAAACAAGTCTATAGAATTGCAAAAATATTGATAAAGTACCAGTTCTAATTAATGAAAATTTAATTCAGGAGAAATTAAACTTTCTAGGGTCTCTTTTATGGATAGAGGCAAAATTAAGCAAAATTTTTCTTTGTTAAGTTATCTTACAATTCATTGGCAGCTTATAAATCTTTGATACAGTAGATGAAATATCAGAACAAGTTTTATAACTAAAACTCTTTTAGCAGAAAATTCTAGGTGAAATTTTACTATTAGATAAATAAAAATTTCTGACTCTTGTTTCTTCCATCTTTAATTTCACTTGTTTTTGCTGTAACAATTTATGAATGTTAATTAGCAGAGAGCCTCAGAAGTAAAGAATAATTATCTCCTAACAAGATTTAAACTCTTATACCAGATTCTTGGAAGCCTGCTTTTCACATTGCAAAAGGGTGCTAAAAAGTTCTCATTTTACTCACTTCCCAAAATCTGATCAAATAATGAAACATCAGAATTTATTTTAGAATCCCTTCTTGGTGAAGTTTATAATTTTTCAGCACCTATTTTTGTTTACTAAAAATCATAGAATGATGAATAAAAGCCAAACGTGATTAAATATATCTGAAACACCCTTGTAGTGTGCCAGGAAGCTTCATTAGTGAAGTTTATTCCTTGTGTTATTGCATTTTGAGCTCTCAAACATCAGATACTCTTTCCAGGTGACCTAAACAGGAGTGATCACATCCCAGTCTCTGTTAAATGAATCTGTGAAATTTGTTCTGAGCTATTCATTGGCTTGATTCTTTTTAGATTTTCAGCCAATGAAAATTAGGTTTACAATAAAAAGATTCATAATGATTCTTTTCTTATATTACAGAGAAAAGCCTGGCGATGAAGGATGGCAGAAACTGAACAAGATGCAGATTCCCCTGTTACTTAATTTTTGTCAGTGTAAACTGTTGTCCAATGAATATTATACTGTGATTGAACACTGCAATACTGTGCTTAAACATGATCCTGGTAAATAATTTTTTTTTTTTATCTTTTTAATTAATTAATCTAATAGGTTCAAGTATTTTAAAAAAATATCATAATCAAATTGATTTTAAAAATAATTTTTGTTTAGTTATCTATCATCATATAAATAATGATGATTTTCAAATAATGCATGATTGAATAAATCTCCCATTTTTAATGTCATGTCCCTTCAAGATGTAGGTGATCGTGGCTCTTCACAGTTATTTTTTATCTGCACATTACCATGCTTTCTTAGGAAAGATAGTGGATGGCCTTCTCCATGGTTTAGAATTCACTTTCATTTTCTTAAACTGATTACTAACTATGGCAAGAGAGGCAAGTCTATTTAACCCATATCTGGGGGATTTAATAAATACACAGCTGAAATCCATGGTCTCTTATGTCCAAATCCCTATTTATCCATTTTGTAGAAATAGATTTAAAATCGTTCCACCCAATAGCTGTGTCTTCAGCAAGTGTATATCATTGTTAATCTGCTTTTTTTCCCCTTAGTTTTTTGTAGGTTTTATGATTTTATTTCTTTATTTTAACACCAGCATACAGTTAAACTCATGAGAAACTTTCTTGTTCTAAACTTGTTTATGCACACAATACTTTTAAGATAATTTCTACATAGTGATAAAAGCAGTGATAGCCCTGGATCAGTTTGGAAGATTTAATTAATATGATATCGTAAAAACAAAAATCTTATTTCCAAGTGATTAACAATCATTGTATTTAAAATATTATCTATTAAATTTAATCTTTCCTTTTGGCTTTAAAAAATACTTCTATTTGCTCAATAATTTTTTTCATTCATCTGCTAAAATCTAAGTTGATATCTTACCTCTGATTTCAACAAGTCAATATTTTCATTTGATTTATATAATATTCTTAATTTCCAAAACTCAATTTCTTGGCTCAGATTTAAATGAGCTATGAATTTTCTTCATCATAATTAGTGTAATATAATTCTTTCATACTTCAATTTTTCTCTTCAATATTATCTTGTATTTTTTATTGTTTTAAAGATAAGCATAAAGAAAGGAATTTACTTTTAGAAACTATTTTTATTCACACTACTAATAAACAAAATATAAAACATTATGATGTGTTTTTATAATCTTTGGAAATATTTTAAGTTAGCAGAGTTTAAATATCCTATCTTGTTCCTCACCAGTTTAGATTTATATAAGATAAAATTGTTTTCTAGCTCTCAAAATTTTATTTTTTAAAGAAAAGTAAATGTATTTTTTTTTTAAAGACAATATGCATGATAAACTGAAACAAATAGGGGAAGTCATTTGTTCACTTTATTGACACTGCATGGTTATTTTATAAACATCTTTTATTTTCCAAATTTCAGACAATGTGAAAGCTCTATTTCGTCGAGGGAAAGCACATATTGGTGCCTGGAATCCAGAAGACGCTAGAAATGATTTGGAGCGTGTGATAGAACTTGACAGTAGTGCCACAAAAGATGCCCGAAAACAGCTTAAAATTTTGGAGGAATTAAAAAAACAGAAAGATCTTGAAGATCGAGAAAGATTGAGAGGAAAGCTATTTGGCTGAAATGACAATCCTAAATGCATTTTAAATTGATTGATAATGTGTGTTTTATAGCTTGTTTGTTTTTTTTGTTGTTTTTTTAAGAGATATTTTCAGTGATGGAAATTGTATAAATGCAGTAGTGTCTGATGTGGCTTTTGTATGTATAGATAATTTAAGAAAATTTTTTCAGTATAACTCCCACAGCAAAAACTGATTTTTGCAAATTGGTGTACATGTTAATTTATATATACTTACATACATATGCATCTAATTATTTTTACTGGAACATATTAAAACCATTTAATTTTTAACAATATTTCTACACAATAAATAAAATAATAAAATTAACTTTGATGAAAAAAATACATTTGCTTACAAACCCCAAACTATGCCAAATAAATGTTTTAAATGAACATTTTTGAAAGAACCATATATACACATCATCAATACACATTTTCACAGTGAACTGATACTACACTTTTATCCAAGACAGACATGCCAATGTGTATACAAATAATCCCATCATTTTTATGGGTATATTACCAATATTTATTATCAGAGCTCAAAATTAACTTTACCTGTCTTCTCAGAATATGATAGAACATTAGTTTGGGATGACTGGTTATTTTTTTCCTGGGCAATTCCAGGATGATACAGAACTGTTAATTAAAATTCTATGATATTTTTTTTTAAATAAAATCTTACTTATCACTTAATAGTGGCAGTTTTTTAATAAATGGAAAACACATAAATGCAAAAAAATATTTAAGTGCTTCTTTTTAAACAGATGAGTGAAGTTTGAAGGACTTTAGATATTTGGCTTATTTATTTCTAAATGTAAAAAACATTAGGATCTTATTATGAGAACAAATTTTACTTTAATAAACAAAGCAAGAAAACTGATATTTTTTCTTTTCAATTTTTGGTTAAAAATAACTAGAATGAACAATAAACAAACAACACTTGTGTTTTCTGCGTATCATAAATTAAATTGAAAATACAAGGGAGAATTTAAGAAAAATGATGAACAAACATTGATAATTTAGTCAAAATGTAAGGCAGATAAATCAAAAACTTTAAAGACTTAGTTGAAAAATGCTAATATTCTTTGTAAGGAAAAATGAAGGCATAAGACACAATTCTTAAAGTATGATAAAAAGTTACTCCAATCATGAAATTTTGTAAAATTATTCATGGTGATTTATTCAAAATTTTTAAATTGTGTTTCTATAAAAGCTAAACTAAAATTTAATTAATTTTATTTTGTATTCAGCCATTTTTATACTTTAATATATTAGCATTTTTCATTTATTTTAATGGTGTATTTTATTATGCTAACAATTATAAGTGATAAGTAAGTTAAAAAAAAAAATTAATTTCAGGAAGATTAAAGTTGTTCAGGATGGTTCTGAGATAATGGTAAAAACACTGGTAGTCTGGAGCCCTGGTTTATTATAAAAATCAATGTCATCCTTATATTTTGCAGTGATTTTTTTTTTTTGTCATTTTTTTACATATTATATTACATATTGCTTTCACTTTTTTTTGCTTCTATATTATCCAAACTTCTTTCCCACTAAAAGCTTTTCATATTGTTTTAACGACTCATGTTTACTTTTTGTGCTTTTTTATTTCACATTTATTTTTACATTTCACAGCATACTTTCACTGACACTACCCTATTTTTGATGGTTGCTTTTAGCTTTGATTATGTTTTTACCTCCACTTGATTTTCTGTTACCAAAATGTTTTCAACAGTAAAAACAAGATTGGTGCAATCTTTCTAGTCTTATTATTTCAATTAAAACAATGTTTAGCTTATAAAATTAGCTAAATATTAGAATAATGTCCACATAATATTGATAACAAATATTGTTAGAAAGTTACAATTCAACAAAAGCATTGTTTTTATTTCTGATGTTTTGACATTTTTTTCTTGTAACAATTTTGACATTTCTCATGGTTTTCATGCTGAATATTCTAATTGCATTTTTATTGTTTCTATAAGAAAATATTTTCTTTTAATGAAAGTCTTTTAAAAGTTTATATTACATTCTTAATGTTTTTGAGATATAATTTACACATTTTACAAAAGTTTTGTTTCATTTCTGCTATTAAAAAATTATATCAATTATTAAAATTGAATCAAACTACAACTGAATTTTTTAAAAAATATAAATAGGCTTGAAATTGTAATTATAAGATTATCAAAGATATTTTTCATAACATTCATGAAATATTCTTAAAATTCCTAGGGTAAAACATTGAAAAACTTTTTTAAAGTTACTTAGTGCAATCTATTGATATAACAAAGTTAAACATTGTTTTTTTCATTTAAACAAGTCTAATAATGATTTTGATATCTATTTGTGAGGGTCTTTCAAAAAGTAATGCCTGTCCTTTAATTACAATAGATTTGATAGTAGAAGTATACAGTTTACAACTGAAATGGCTAGATGTAACCGTAAGTTCTATGCTAACAGTTTTTTCTATTGCACTTCTCGCTTGTGGAACTCTCTTCTGCCTTCTTGCTTCCCAGTCAATTTTGATCTTCAAAAATTTAAATGCAGTTTTCTGTTTTCTTAATTATCGTTCTTTTATTGTCCTTTCTCCTTAATAGGTTTTTTTTCATATTCTCTTACACTCAGTAACCTCCATGCATTTTAGAGGCTTTATTGCCTTCCTTAAAGTGAAATGATTAAAAGAAACAAAGCATACCAAAATAAATACACAAAATCTCAGAATTCTAAATCTAGTCTTTAACATTGTCTACCTTTGAATGAGGATATATCTTTCTTGGCAACTTCCTTAGCCATGTATGAGTTGATTCTTTTATCATATCATCCTTGGGAGACTACTGTTTTTTTAATGCCTCCTTCATTGGGCCCAGACAGGTAAAAGTTTGTTGAAGTTGCCAGGTCAAGACTGTAGAGTGGACAAGATCTGATTGTCCAGTTGTGTTGTGATTGCTAGTTTTTAGGTTGCTGTTGAAGCCTCACAAAGTCATTGAAGCCTTGTTTTGACAATGTGCTCATGTAGGTGTAATAATTGATAATGGTTCTATTTGGCATAAATTTGAACAAATGACCTTTCACTATACAGCTTATTACTAAGTTCAGTTTGTCATTATTAACATCAACTCAAGTGATCTTTATTTTTCTTACTATGAGATATATTATGATTTATAGCTTTAAAAAAGAAAAAAAAATTAGAACAGGCATTACTTTTTGACCAACCTTTATATTTTCTGTACACATGACTTAATCTGTTAACTTTATCAAAATGTTTAAGTTTTCAAGCTTCTTATGTATTTTTTCCAATTGGTGGAAATCAGATTATATTTAACATTAGCTCAACTGATCTATGTCTTTATTTTTCTTAATTCAAGAGCAGCATTTCTTGTGCAGTCAACAAACTGTTTGTGAATTACAAGCCTTACAAGGGATGTGAATGCTCCTTGGAATAATTCTTAGAACAAAACCAAAGAAATTACCTTCTGCTCTTTCCTTCTTGGAAAATCACACTTCTCTTAGCAAAGACTTTTTTCATTTTGTTTAATTTTCTGTATTTTTTTTTGGTTTTTACTTTATTCTATTTTTTCCTTTCAATTCCCATATTCGTCTCTTCTAGTTTCTATAAACAGTCATTGACCATAGGAGGTGTTTGAAAAAAGAAAAGAAAAATTACAATAACATTTTGTTCTCTATATGTGTCCAGAGGATTATGGGTAGTTAAAGAGTAGCTCTCTTCATAATTCTCTTCTCATGACCTTTGAGATATTATGGTTTATAGCTTTAAAAAATAAAACAAATAAAAATTAAGGCAGAACAGGCATTACTTTTTGACCAACCTTCATATTTTCTTTATACTTGACTTAATCTGTTCAACTTTATCAGAATGTTTAAGTCTAAGCTTCTTACAATTTTTTTTTAAAGCTGATGTTTTGTTGGAGTCTTTAGAGACTGAAGAATGTGTTGACTCAAATATTTAAATTGAAAATGAATGAAATATAATCCAGTGTCTTGCAAAAGTTTGGAAATTCTACCACAAAATCATGAAAATAAGATCTTTATTTTTCCAATTTAAAAATATTGAATTTTTTTATTGTGCAGAAACTTAGGATATAAGAAATAAGTATTAATCTAAATTGAAAAATTAATATTTGCAAGAAGAATATTGTCATTTTTTTATTACTGTCTTGCAGAGTCAAGACATTGATACTGCAAGATTCTTTGCACAACTTATGCATGGATTGCTTGTATCTATATTCTCTTCATAACTTTGTTCAAATGGCTTGTGGTGTTGATTTTTAGTGGTCTAATCCTGTCTTCCATAATTTTGTATAGGATCTCTGATTGTGGTTTGTTATTCATTCAGATAAGAAATTGCATTATTTTTATATTGGAGGGTACTTATTTCATGCTGCTTACATGTAAAAAAAATAGTTTCAGGATCATGGTATTGAGTTCTCAGAGTGGCCACCGAACTAATCAGATTTCAGTATGGTAGAAAATTTGTGGAATATTATGAAAAGAAAAATTGCATCAATGAAAATTATTTCCATAGATCATCTGTAAGAAGTAATAAAGAAATCCATGATTTGTGCAAAAATTGTGCAACACCCATGACTTGCAGAGTCAAAGCAGTAATAAAAACATGTGTTGTAATAACTAAATTTTCAAATTTGGTTAATATATGTTTCATATCCTGTAAGCAGTTGCATATAATAAAGGAATGCATTATTTTTAAATTGAAAAAAAAAATTTTCATGACTTATACTGTATGTTTTTCAGCGTTTCACTCATTAATCTACTAAAGATTTCTGACATACATAAATCATATATCTTTAATTTTAATAATTGCTTTAATGGGTTTTTTTTCTCAAAGATAAAATTGCACATTTTGCACATATTGTTTTATTTGAGGAAATAAATATTCATCAATCATCATAGATATGTTCTCTCTCTAATCTTTGTTCACTCTCCTTTAGAAATCATAACCATTTCTAGATATTTCCAAAC